ACCTGACATTACCATAACAATACTTCAAAGCTTTATATTAAATATGAATATCTTATTAGGCAAGCCTATAGGAAAAAAAAAAAAGTGTCTTTTCACTCTAGAGATACAAAATTGGGCTTCTTTGAGAAGATATGATAGAGTGTAACCACACGGGACTGTGGATCTCAGATACCCCTGATTTCTCTTTACTGTAATTAAGCAGAAACAGATCAGCACATTTCAGTCTGCGTAAGAAAGATTTCTAGTCTCTATTTATATTAGCTGTGGTAGAGAGGAACCTAGACGTCAACTGAGAACTCTGGCCATTACCATATCACACAAACACTTCTGCCATCGTCCAGGAGATGAACTATGTTTCACAGGACAGCTCACGTACATTCTCAAAAGGCAATCCTTTCATATGCCCCTACTGTAAGCATGCACTGCAATGGAACCTTGCCTGTGTCACTCATTTTAGGAGACCATGCCACGTGGATAAGCCAAACTCAAAATTTCCTTCAAGTTCCGTCAGTTTTATACTGAGTATGGGGAACTGGAGCTGACATTAAAAGCACCATTTTGAAGGCAAGATTAGAAAAATACAGTGGAAGACAAAGACCTAATGAACATTTGGGACACAAAATTGCATGTGAGTAGTAGTGAGAAAAAAATTGCATAATTGTGAGTAGTAGTGAGAAATCTAAGCATTGAAATACTGTGGAAAAAAGACCAGGTGCTTAGGTGGAAGGGAAATACAATTAGGTGGTAGCTTACCAATACGTAGTACCTTCTATTCCCTCTGCAAGGGAGCAGAAAAGCTCAAGGCCGGGGGGCAGTTAGAAAGCAGAAAGCAGCAGGTGTTTCACAGAAGAATGTCCAAGAGCAAACAGAGTTAAGCACCAAGCATGTCCTCTCTCCTCCCAGCATGCCTTGTGACCACATCAGGTGAGTCCCAAAATTGCGACCTTCCTTAGGAGCCACTGTCATGAAAGCTATTGACACCAGCCTTCATGGTCTGAAAACCCTTCATGCCAGCTTCCCATTGACTAAGCCTTCCACATCTCAGTCAGCTTTTCATGGACCAGAAACTGAATGTTGCAGGAATGTAGCTGTGCCAGTCCTCAGCATTATAAGACAAGATTAAGATTACATAGACTTCTAACGTGAAACTACACAGAGGGAAGCCATTAGGAAATGGGACCTAAAAAACCCCAAGCATCTATGATGGAGGGGGGGGGAGGGGGGGACAGAAGGGAAGTAGGGCAAAGAAACTTCATTCCTGAACTCCCTCCCTCACAAGAGAGAGACAAAACCCCTGAACTATTACAAAACCCCTGAACTATTTAGCATGAGAAAATGTTTTTGGAAACCTTTTTCCAGTATCCCACTATAGAATGGTTCATCACCCTGATGACTATCCTTCAATTTTTCTTTCTTTGAACATAAACAAAATATGAATTGAAGATGGACTGGAGCGACAACTCCATCAGCAACTTCTACCCCCACATCCCGTATGCCACTGGTGATAAAGTTACCTACATGAGAGAAACAGCACCTACTCAGTACTCTGAGAACCTATTCAAGGCAGGAAAGCTCCTTATTCAGGAGTAGAACAGTTGTGGGCAGGGCAGAGTATTTATAAATTCGTATGCATTGTTGTTTACTCTAATTGCATTGCTTGTAAGCATTTTGACTGAAACAAGATGAGATAATGGGAAATCTGACTGCTGGAAGCCAGCTCAGTTTTAATTTGAATACATGTATTTATTTAAGCCTTCGCAAGTTTTCCCATTGGCTCTGCACGTGTGAGGAGCTAAGACAATGAAGAAATAAGCTGTGAGTGCTCAGAATGGTATTTGTGAGCTTGCACAGGGAGGGAAAAATAGCAATCAACAACCACAGTAGTGGATGTCATGAGCTTTTTTCATAGTGGTTCACTTTACATTCCTGTTTCCATCATATTCTGAAAGAGGGGTTTTGTGACGTAGAAGAATGGAGAAGAGGGGGAAAAACACTTCAAAAAAGCAAAGTAAATTTCTTACTTATTCACACTGAGTTTTCTATTAGTATATAAAAAAATTATACATACATTAGAAAATATAAGGTATAAAGCTTTTGCTGTGAATCTAAGCAAAACATCACATCTAAATAGCTTGTGTTCACATGAATGTATGAACATGTACATAAATACTCATTTCACGTAAGTGCAGACCTAAATGTAGACCATTCTTTCCAGAGGAGTTTCTTCTGTACTTGGAGAATAGCACTTCTCAGTCAGAACACCCACTTTTTTTTCAAGCATTGGATCTAAACTAACAATAGGCCTAAGCAGCAAATCTGATTTCAGGTTCAATCCTCTCCAGAGCCTCATCATAAAGTTTACTTGTCTTTGAGCTTTCCGTTGGATCTGACATAGAACAAAACGTGTCAATATTAACTCTTCCAATTGGCAAGTGGACAAGAACAATATTAACACAACTGTGAAGAATGAAATTGTTCAGTTATGAAAAATGAAGAAAATAAGTTGGTATTCTCAGTATTGCAACAGTGCTTTTCATTAAACGTTTGCACAAAGTACAGCAAACTGACAAAATAATTTGTGGTTTATTTATGCATGTATATAGCTACACTAGACGGTACAGGCCATTTAAATAGTTCATTATGGTAGCAATCATTGTTAGTAACCCTATGTTAAGAAGTGTGGGCAGACACTTCATTAATGCATGCACAGATTGCCAGGATATTGTGCTGTCTCCCTGCTGCAGAATTATAAAATACAGTAGCAAGAGTGAGTGGGATGATGAAGTCATCTGGCAAATCTCCACTGGATGATGCACCTAGGAGCAAATGACATAGCATATTCACACCACCCACTGGATACACCACTAGACTGGAATCTGGGTGCAGACAGCTCTAATGCTCAGATATTCCAGTGATCCCCATTGCCCAAGTGTGGACAAGTCACAAACCAAACCTAACTTGTTGTATCTTTGGAGGAGGGAACACTATTGCTTTCTTTCTTAAGTTTATTAAGTTTAAACTCCAGCAGAAAAAAAAGAAAAAAAAAAAGGAAAAAAAAAAAGTAATAGTAGAGCTACCAAAAGCTGGGGCTGCCTAGCATTTCCCAGTATAAGTGCTTCATTTTTGTTCAACTATAAATTGACTAAACTTCAGCTATCAAAGCTGAAATTTCCATGACAGGATCTGTTTCCATCTATATTTCCCCTCCCTCCCCTTTTTGCAATGAAGATGGTATAAATGAATTGACTTCTAATCTTGGGAAAAGGAGATTCCTACTTCATGGAAAAGTCCTCCATAAGCTACTAAAACACGTATTTTGCTTTGCTTCTTAGGTCCCAATCTACAGGTATGAAAATAAGTTTGTAATAATTGAAGTATTCAGATATTACCAAAAAAAAATTAAGCAGGCATATAAAAGCTTTTAAAGTCATGTAATCTAAACATTGATCAACAGCCATCACTGCTAAAGGCTAACAACAAAACACAAATGTTACAGAAACAATACTCAAAATCATTTACAGATACAGGACTGGGGACTCAAGCTTCAACCACCAAAAAAGAAAAGTGTGAAGAAAGAAGTTAATAAGACTGTAACCTGCAATGTCCAGTCACAAAGCCCTTTTATTAAGGAGGAATTATAAACCAAAGTGAGCAGGAATTTCTCAGGTAAGTGTTTGCTTTGTAGCTGGCCTTTTTAAATGTCTTTGTTAGATTGAGGGGGACATATCAAAGCTCAACATCTGTCTAGCAAGGTGATTAGTTTAAATACCTATATTTCTTGGGTAAAATAAAGCTTTATGGTGCATTGAGGACCAAAAAAAGACATTCACTAATAAGCTAAAATAAAAAATGAACAAGTGATGCATTTTTATTTTTTATTTTTTTCCAGTACAATTGTCCTTTCTCCTGACCCCCCCTTTGCTAGGAGAACACACATTTTGCACCTTTTCTGCGATTACTTTTCAGACTAATTCTTTCCTGGATGTTCTCTCACACACACACACACACACATCTATTTTGCCAGTCCCTCCATGAGGAGAGACTGAGCCCTGCAGTGTTTGAGTGGAATGTTGACGCCCACGTGGGTGGGTGCAGAATTAGCCAAAACAAGTCCTCGCATTCCTTAGGATGTCAGCCCCCTTCTGTTGGCTCTTTCCTAATATCTTACTAACAGGTAAAATCTCTTTCCCAAATCAGCCTTCCCCATTCTTTCAGAGTGGAAAAAACAGAAACAAACAAAAAAAACCTTCCTTAAACAGGTGCCCAGGCATATTTATAGTGAAGTATTATGCTAGTTAGACAATTACAGTTTTTCAGTTGCCCAATTTAAATTCCTATAGGTACCTAATAAACCATCAAATGAAGAAGAATTACCAGTAAATAACAATTACCTTGAAAGAACAGTACTTTAAATATTAAAGTGACACTTCATTAGTTATGCTGGCAAGCAGGTCAGTTTGAATCAAATGGCTATTTTAAATTAGTGGTCCTATTGCAGACATGGGGTGTAATTTTTATTACCAAATACCCAACCAAGCTAGTGACCTTAAAAACATTACTCAAGAAATGGTTCAGAATTAATTAGAGTACTGTGCCAAGGGAAAGAAAAAAAAAAAAAAAAGTGTTGAACATCTCTGAATTCTTTCCAGGAAGGTGTTTTTAATAATGACAGTAGTTTACTCCATTTAAAGGTCTATAACCTCAAGTCAAAATGTAGGCTTATATGAAACTAGCAAAGTGTAAGAGTAGAAAAATATTTCTATCATTTTTTCTCCTACTGCAGTGAAATATTTTCTTAAGAAAATATGAGCCTCTAAAGCATCTACAGCTTCACAACTACTCCACTACAGGACATTGGCTAGGAATTGATTGACTCCCAAGAGAAGCTTCTATTGACATTGACTTTTGTTGTGCACACTAAAATGTGTGCACACACTTGGGGGGGGGGGAGGGGGGGGGGGGGGGAAGAAGCAAAAACAAGGAAAAAAGCTGCAGAGAAATGTGATTTGACATTTATTGTTTTTCATTTTTAGTGATCTATGGTATTGGAACTCATTGAAAAAAAGAGTTAGCTAATGTGCATTTTCTTAATTACAATTTCTTTTCTATAACATATAGCAGAGCAGAGTTTTCACACAGGCAGTTCAAGCAACTGCTACCTGAAATGTCACTGCAGGACTCCAACTACAATGAGAAGTTTCTATATTTTCAGCACTCCCAAAAAATAGAGCTCTAGCTTTTCTAGGCAGAAGTAACAAATCATTTGGCACTATGCAAAAGGAATAAAATTCCCAACATGGATTGTTTCTTTCAGGATTCTGTACAGGTATGTTCGTTTCACGTTCTGCTTTTCATCCCTTCTATTCATCTGCTTTCATCCCAGTTTCTATCCAACATTTCCATCAGTTATTCCTTTTTACAGTCCCATCCAATGTATACTGGGATGGCAGTAACCTCAGCCATAAGCAGCTGGGATTCTTAAATTCTACCCAGTTCAAGTACAGCGTTTGTGGTTGTTGCTTTTTTTTTTTTTTTTTTTAATGCCATAGCTGGGGAGAATTTGCCAACTACTCACTAGACACACACACAAAAAGAACATGATACTATGAGTCACAACAGAGAACCCATGAGAACTGCCATAACTACACTAAAGTTCAACATAAGAGTTAATTCCCTTTGAGGTAGAATGACTTCACACAGAACTTGAAGAAAGATTCAAAACAAAAGTTGCATTTGTATAGAAAAATGGAAGTAACTTTTCTGTCCAAAGATGGAACCCATTAATTTTCAGATGGTACACCTATCATAGGTACAGGGAAGATCCATAGCCTTGTGAAAAACTTTGAATTTCAAAACTGCTAGAAATCTGATGAAGGTTTTGGGTACCAAAGATGGGACCTGGAAAGGATTTACTTACCTGAGAAGCAGGAGTCCTGAGATCTAGTCCTTTTTCTCCTGAGCTTTATGTCAAGCAATAAATTATGTGAACAGTCCTAGAAATGGGGATCAAAACCTTGGATTCCTCCTCCTCGGCTGTGTTTCCTAACCACGAGGCTACAGAGAAATTTCATTATGTGCCCTCTATGGTTCTTTTGAGTTACGGCCTGACTAGGAGAATAGTTTTTGCAGGAGCAGTGGAGAATGTTCCTACACTTCCCTTGGTGATGGTAAGAACACATGAAGCAAAGTTGGACACTGGACTTGGATCTTCCAGATCTTGAATGAGCTCCAGCCACTAAGGTGTTGTATAGTGTGAGAATATAAGCTCCTTTGGACAAATATTCGAAGAGAGGTATGAATCCTGTTCAGCACTTTGGGACCAAAGCTGTGGATACTCAGCAGCAGGAGAGACGTCAGGTCTCTGGACTCTCTTCACAATATCAAATGAGTGCACAGTGTCATGTTTGATTGGAGTATTTGAGTCTGGTGCCCTAGTCCAAGAAAGTGGTAAAATTTCAGACTTATTCTTGTGGTCAGTACCTTTAGCTGGTACTTTGCACTTGAGCCTGCTGGCTGTTTTGGATCCCATTTTGAAGTGTCTAACTATCCTTATTTATTATACTTGGGCTCTAAAGGTCTGGCACCAAAGCACTGGATTGCACTCAGTGCAGACAGGGGCAGAACTTAAGTCCTCCCTGAAATCCTGACCTATGTGCCTGATCCTTGCACCTTGCTAAAAGCTTTGCCACAGATTTGAATGGGCATAGGATCAAACTCATTCCTGCCTCAATGGAATTCTGCATTTGCACAGAGGCTGACAAAGAGCCAAGTAAGGACTTACAACTATATATGATAATTTTTCCTTATATTCCTGAGAGCTGTCCAGTAGCATTCAAGACTAGTGAAAACAGATATATACCCAAAGTAGCAAACCCTGGAAAACATCTGAGCACCAGGTCTCAGCCTTGTCCTGGCTCTATGTAGGAATAATATCCACAACTCAACACCATCTTGGTTGCTTCAAAGAAAAGGAAAATGTGTTCACATGCTGGACAGTGTAAAGACCAACGTACCAGGACATGTCATGTTGTGCAACTATAACCCAGTTTTCTCTTATCCTGAAATGGAAATAGCACAAAGACAACCAATGCTCAATTCCAAAAGGATCTTGCCATGCTCACCCAGTGACTTAGATCCATTAGCAAGGCCCTGACAAAACACAGCTTTCTGTCAACAAGCACTATTGCTCGATTGTACAGGTGCACAGATCACTGGTGGGTGGGGGGAAGCTGTTTATTTTGGATTAACTGTGGTTTCATGGCCGAATTTAAGCACTCACACAGGAAAATCAATTGCAAAGTACAGCTATAGGAAGCAAGGCCCTTATAATCAAAGGAGTTAATTTGTTCATTTCAGCTGAGTAGTCATTGAAATGCGTATCTTGTACAAATATTTGTTTGATATATTGATATACGAATATAATTTCAGTATATTAGCTAAAGCACTAATTAGATTAATAGCAATATTTGCTTTGAAAAGGTCTCCCTTGCTGAAATCAATTAAAAGTGCATGATGAAATTTCATTAAGCTCTACAATATGTTTTTCCATCAAGTGCAAAGTTACTATTTTCCAGCTATTATCATACAACAGTACAAGATAGGACTCTCAATAGATTCAGAAATCCTTGTGCCAACACTGTTTTGTACTTCTATATCAGTAAGCACGGATTTTCTCCCCACATACTGAAGGAACATATTTGCCTTGCCTGCAAACAGCACTGAACTTGTGAACGTAGGATTAAATTTACTGAGGGATATACCTGTGGTAATCTCAATGCCGCACTGCCCAGGAGGGCTCCCTCATACAAAGCAACTCATGTCAGTGTTCTGTGTGTCTAGGGGAACTGGTCCCCCCTTCCACCAGTCCACACGGTAATGATTGATAATCACCATCTCCTTTGTACCTGACAAAGAGCATGTTATAAACTGCAAAACACAGAACTAGGACCACTATAAATGTGCTATTAGATGTCCCTCAAGAAGTGCAGGGACAAAGGAGCAGCAGAAGCAATGGGCACAGGCCTGAGCTAACCTGATGAGCTCAGAAGCCACACATATAATGCATGTGTGTGTGGTAATATATGTGCATAAATGTAGATGTGCATCTGTGTGTGTACATCTCCTTTCCCAGAACAGTCATTAAATCTGTGATGGGGCAGGAACAGATTGTGAACAAAGACAAGTGAATGTATGGAGGAGAGGTGGAAATGTCATTCCTAGAAGTAAGGATGGTGCCAATAACTGCACCCAGAGAGACAATGATCGGTGACTGTTCCTCATCCCGCTATCCTTTCTGTTCTCGTTTCCTGGAGCCTCAGACTCAATAACGCAATGGATTTGTCACAGCCACATGACTTAGGAAGCTACGTCAGTTCTTTTTGCCTGAAATTCCTGCGTCTTGTCACTATTTCTTCAGGCTGCCAACACACAAATACTGCAGTGGTGAGAACAGAAGAAAGCCTTTCATAAGCAAGACCGGCCTCAATGAACAGCAACAGGTTTTACTCTAGTGTTGTACCTGCAGGGCAACAAGGTCCTGATCCCAGGTAGTCTGCACTTCCGTAATACATTTCCTGCTATTACTCCAGCTGCCTGCAGTGCCTGAGACCCAGAAGAAAAACAATAGTATAGGAAGAGAAAGATAAAGGGAGTACCCAGCAGAGATGAGTCCCTGAGACACTGAAAGAACATAATTCCCTGTGCAATGGATTAGTGCTCTTTCTGAGAACATGGAATTAGAAAATCCTTCATAAAAAGTACAATACTTACAGACAAAAAGGGACCAAAATGAGGTAAGACAGATGAAAAAATATGTAGTCAAGAGTCTGATCTCACACCACTGAAATGCGAGGAGTTGCTCTACATGGCAAAAGTCAAGCAGGTGTTTAACTGCTTCCTCCAAACAATTGACTCACACTCTAAGCTGAAGTTCTTAGCTTGTAACAGGAACAGAACTTTCTTCACTGAGAGACCCTGAAAAGAAGCAAAGAATTACATATTATGTTGAAGGCACAAAAATGCATTTAACATTTTCTAATAAAAACAAGAACTGGCACTTTATAAAACCAGATAAATACATTTTTCAGGTATTATATTTAGAATGCAATGAGAAATTCATCACCAGGAATATTTTTTATGGCACCACCACCCACCTAAGTCTGTCCGTGTGTTGGTGTGAAAGAGTGTCATGCCTTCCTGCAGTGTTCATGTCAGAATTAAATACCTTGCATTGTAGACGCATTAGGAGTGCTTTATCATGCTCAGCTGATGTACACAGTAGCTCATTATGATTGGGTAACTCAGCCATTAAGCTCTACAATAAGCCCACGCTGAATCCTAAAACAGGAGACATATATAAGCTATGGAGGTGTTGAATAAGAGAAGCTATACTGTGCTCTACATAATTAATTTTGCCTTCTATCTTTCTGGTATTTTTAGTGAGGCTGCAAGCTGAACACACTGAATAATTTCATCCCCAGTGTAATTTCACAGAATCATCTAGGTTAGAAGAGACCTCTAAGATCACCTAGTCCAACCTCTGACCTAACACTAACAAGTTCTCCACTAAACCATATAACTGAGCTCTACATCTAAATGTTTTTTAAAGACCTCCAGGGATGGTGACTCAACTACTTCCCTGCTTTCACTGAGCATCTCTCAACTCAGTAGAGTCCTATTGTGTTCAAACTCTTCACACCCGTTCCACAAAGAACAGCTGAATATGCTTAACCCTAAACACAGAGGAAAAATACAAATTCTACTTCAAAGCTAGGGCTTCTCATTACTCTGGACCAGCATTAGGCATTGCAACAGACTTAGCAGCCTCTATCACCTATGTTAGCAGCTGCCCACTTTTTCTCAGTATGGAAGCAGAAGCTTTTGGTCAAGAACACAGGAAAAAATAAGAGCTTAACTATGGTAAGGGAAAGGATTGAAAAATACAAAGTAGAGGGGAAGAGTAAAAAATAGCAAATGTGTGAAAGACAGGGAGACTAGGACCATTTGGGGAGGGGGAAGAATTAGAAGCTGGCACAGAAAAAGGCCTGATGAGAATCAAGATAGCTGATACAGGGAATAAGCTCCAGCCAAAACGCAAGGAAACAGGAAAGTTCACAGCCAGCTGGTTCAGAGGCCAGAATGAGAAAATAGGCAGTAGTGTAGAAAGGGAGGAGACATGGAATACCAGTCCAGCACTAAGGGAGACGAGAATGAAGGAGGGTCCCAGGGATGAAGACCAGGACATAGAGTTACCCTGGCTTAACATCATAGGAGTATCATTTTAATATCACACAGCATTTCTGTTTCTTGATTTTACTTCAAGATACAAACCAACTTTTTTGCCATAACTCTGCAAAGTCAATGTTTAAATCCTTAAAATGTGTCGGTGCAACATTAAAAGGTGTCCCTCATGTATACTGAGCATCCTGATACAGCCTCAGTATAGATGACTACCTACTACTCTTTTTCACCTACTTGTATGTGTATGTGCAGGCGTGTGCATGTTTTCTTTCTTGGCTGTGGTATAAATCTTTCCAGCACATCTTCAATTCATAGATATTAGGTAAGGTTGTTTTTCCCCCCACTGATTATGAGTGCAATTAAATGTATTTATTCAAATAAAGTTCTTAATATTCATTATCACTGTCATTCAGAGGTCTAGATTGCAGCTTGGATTCACGTGTAAACTGCTACCTAACATTTATCAGCGAAGTTTTTTTTTTGTTTTTTTTTTAAGGCAATTCCACCCACGCCCCCATTCCCATTTAAAGATAGGCCACATATCACAATAAGCAGATTTACTTTAACCCCATCATATTGAATGATACACGTGATAACAGGAGACCTTGGAACACTTCAAAGATGTGTAGGAATGAAAAAGAGTGAGTGCTCACCTCAGAACAGCAGAGCTATTTCTATGCTTTTATGCAGTTTGTGACGGGTAACTTTTTTTCCTGAAACCAAAAGCAAAAACAAATATATGTCTGTATAAGCAGAGAATCTCAGTTTTATTGCTTTAAGGCTAGCTAACCAAAAAGCAAACAAACTCCTAGCTTCACTGAGAAGAAAAATTAGAATGGTAGGAATTGAAGCATGAAGCCCAGTATCAGTTGTGTGACAATGCATTATATAAGCAAAAATTATACTCTGTTAGACAGAAGGCATAGTTTATACAAGGGGTGATGCCATTTTCTCAATGAAAAAAGCAGCCATACGTGTTAGCAAGAGGGTATTTCAGACAAATAGGACTAATCTTTGGGGACTGTGACATTCCACTGACAACCCACCACTGATGGAAATTTTGGTCACAAGCAGCAATCCACTGGATGCTTGGTCAAGGGAGACAGCTGGGGAAGTTTTGGTTGAATTTATCACCAAAATATATATTTCACATGGACTGAGCAAGTAAATAAATAGATCAGATCTTGGATAAACATCTCATCATTTGTTATCTCCATTTGTCAGCAGTTTGCATAATGTTTCTCTCACTTCTACATAATGCAGACAACCATAGCAGATTAAGAGGGCTGTAGTTGTTCTAGACTCATGACCAGTTTCTTTCTTTTGTGGGCACAAAGTTTTTCTGTGCCTCACTCCAAACTACTCCCCGGCAGCCTCTGTATAGATTTTGTTTCAGCATCTAATTACAAAAGGACAAAGGCAGGATTTGACTTGAGGAGGAACCAGGAAGCCAAAATTCCCTTTACAAGATTATTTGGAATGTAGACATATATTTAAAATACTCAGGGAGAGAACAGAATGGAAAATAAATCCCCCTAGGGATGATTGCCCAGGGTCTAGGGTGGGTGCAATGAAAAAAATGTTATAAATCAGTGACAGCTTTCTAACTATGGATGAATAGTCTATTAAAAATAGTAGACCTCCACTTCTTGGGAGGTTGAAGAGCCTACGTTCTTGTTTATGTTAGGGATCAGCCCTGATTTCAGCAACTGATAACCAGCAATTGGTTTGATCCCATGTGACCTCTACTGTAAACAGGTAAAACCCATGGGGAGCTTCCAAGTTAATTTTCTTTGAATACACCCCAAGAAGGGAAAGGGGTAAGTCCCTCCACTTCTGCAGAACCAGCTCTAGAATCCCACACAATAAAGACAAAGGCAGGGGACACAGCAGCACTCCACTAATCCAGTCCAACCCAGGAATACTAATGGGCAGTAAAAGGTCCATTGGGTGACACAGGCAGGAGAGAATTTGCTTATGTCCATCCAGCCTACTGAGAAAAGAAGAAGATAATCACTGTGACAATTTTGAATCTGTGCTAATCGTCTTATTGCTAATCGATTATTGGCAGAAGCTGTGTTTCAGGAACCTTCTTCACAATACTTTTCAAACACCTCCAAATCAATTTTCCTGGCACATCCCCAAATGTTCTGTTCAGAAGCATGTTCAGGGCTTGAAAAGATGCACAAGTCCATCCAGAGCAATACCTTGTCTTGGATGATGCTCAGTGCAAGAGGAAGGCAAAGTCATGGTGACAGTTGGAGGTCTTTCACTGCTGCTCTAATCCAGCTAATATGATCGAGCAAGCACGGCTCTGTCTCATCGGGTGAAATGCCTGAAGCACAACAGGCAAATGTGTTTCACCCTCAAATTCCAGGAAAGTGTTGTGCAAATACTTTGCGTGGGAAGGCTCTCTTAACACGGCACATGTGACTGAGTACAGTAAAAATGTCCCAGGTCTCTCCCTGGTATAACTGCATCATAACCAGGGAGGTTACACCAGAAATATACTGGCCTACAAACCTAGTGATCTTTCATGAAGTGATCGTCAATGCAGCAGATAAAATGGGGATAGAATCGTTCCTGAAACCGAAATGGTGTTCTTTGTTACTTAACATGTGCTCTAGACATCTCAGGCCTGAATCAGCTATTGTATCTGTTCACTTTACATCACTGTAACTTCACTGACATTAGCAAATGACTCCTGAGCAAGGAAAGAAAAGAGACCTGTGACAGATGTGACTTACCAACCAGCTAGTTTTTTTCTTTATTTTATGTAAAGCAACATGAAAGAACAGATCTAAAGCCCAAATGAAACACACAGAGCACAACTGCCAGTGACTTAAAAAATATATATTTCAAAGAAACATAATGTTTTACACCCTCATCCTTTCCATCAATTTGATGTTTAATCGACCTCTAAAAAATATTGCTCCAAAATATTGTTTCAATACTTATAAGTAACTGTGCTACTGACAGAAATACCTTTTCTGGAGGGTAAAAAGTTCATATGACATATCATAACAGTCTCATGGGCAAATATTCACAAATGATCATTTAGAATGCGTTTTATGTGTCTATTCTTCTCAAAGAATAAAAATTGATATATTTAGTTGTAAGATACCAATGATCAACATATCTCACAAGCCACCATATAAATTTTCCTCATTTGACATTTCCAATTGCAAACTGTGTTGAAAGCACTGTTAAATACTATTAGTTCCAAGGCTTCAGCCCATCCTGGAGCTCTTGCCACAGGACAGTCAGGTTTCATTTATTAAGCTCTATTATTGAGTCTGGGTGAGATGCTAGCACTAGATGAACAGAGGGAATTAACACCAACAGTGAAACAAGAAATCATCTCTTCCAAATAGCCTTTCAAATATAAACCAGTGGAAAAGAACTGGTGGGAGTGGGAGTAAGGAGTCAACATTAATTCATACACTCACCCAAAGACAGACATGGGGCACGGAACGTTTTGTTTTGCATTTTAAGCATGTAGTGTAACAACGCACACAGACAAACAAACTGGAAGTATTTTGTCTGATTTGACACTTGACTGCATCTTCCTACTCTGTGGCTTTGAAATGGAAAGAAAAAATGACAAAAGTAGAAAACAAGTAGTCCTCTAACTCCTGTAACTTTTGCTTTAACAAGAAATAAGAATGTTATTCCGAAGAACTTCAGGCTTTATGGCTTTTATGGCTTCTAGGTAAGTCCAAAAGTAAAGTCTTAGCTCACTGGGAGAGCTGTTTAGCAATACTGCATCACCTGACAAAGGATTTTGTTCCAACTACTTCAATGAGAGATGAAGTTTCATTATACTCAAGAGAACAGTTGAGCCTAAATGGCACCTCAAAGCTCCAAGTCTGTAAGTAAACTGAAGCATGAATTACACTTCTCTCTCTGTTATGTTATCCCAACCACATTCAGTAAACAAAGAGCAGTACATCTTGAAATCTCTAACCCTGTGCCAAATGCAGTCCCAAGGGCCTATTAGGCATGGGTTAATAAATTGGTCAAGTGCAACATGATGTGTAACTATAATTTGACATTAAGCTAACATCTGCACATCAACTGGGCATGTTGATGGTAAACACAAACTTCTTAGCAGAGATACTAATGATTAATTCTTTATTCCCACTAAATTACAAAAATCCCTGACGTGGTTGAATGGTACACACATTAGACCGGTATAATAGATTAGCTGCAGGGGTAAGATGAAGGACTCTAATTATCCTAATTTGGTCAAGATTGTTTGAATATCTTGGCTTTAGAGAGTAAAGAAGCCTAAGGGAGTTTGGTCCCAAATCCCACATCTAAATTCTTTAGACTTATTTTTAAATATCTAGTTCACGAACCTTGGAGTAAGTCTCCTAAATGTCTTTGAGACACCTGTCTGAGTGTCTTAGGGCTTAGTACCTAGCCACTTTGTGGATTCTTAGCATACCTAAGCAAAAACGTCTGCCCAAATAAGGAAAATGTGGACAACGTAGTCAACAATGATTCACTAGGTTGACATTCTCCCTATTGTTCTTGCAGTCCTCACAGAACTGGGTGGAGAGTTAGGGAACTAATAGGCATAAGGTCAATGAGCTGTTTTACAAGCAATGCAACTGACAAAGCTGAGTTTCCTATGATATATGCCTTACATCCTCCAATTACAACCACTTTCCTTCATAATCACAGTACCCCTCTGTTCCCTTCCATGTGCTCATTTGATGGCCTGCACAAGCAATAGTGCATGCTGCAACTGATTTGGAGCTACATGTGCTGACTGGTTAACTGGCTGCAATCTAAGGCTAGGCAAGGACTGGTCATTAATGCTTGTCCCTCACCTCTAGAGGAGGTAATAAGGCATTCAAAAAAGAGTAGGACACTAATAGGAATCCGTCTTCTCCAGCCAACTATTGACAGTCATTAAAACTGTGGACACCTAATATCTTTTTGTCTTTTACCCCACGACCCTATCCCCTATCTAGTTTGTCCAAGGAATTCAAAAGTTATGTGGAAAGAAAGATATGCCTTTGTTGTAAAGTTTTGATTCCTAGGAACTGGGCACTATGTACATGTAAGTTACAGAATTATTGTAGAATGGATAGCTGGATATGGATGTCTTTGAAAAATAAGTCAAAGGGCCATTCAGAGAAGTCCATTTCTTAAAGCTAATTTGATTAGTTGCCATCAATGAAAATTATTTAAATACTTTTCACATTTAAGTCTCCAAGTTAATTCAGTGTCATCTGAGCCACCCCCACAGAGAGCATGGGTTCTGGAACAAAAAATAAAAATCCTTCTTACCTCCTCCCTGCCATTTCACCTCAGAATAAAATGCACGTTTTTTTGACTGAACATCATGCTTAGCACATTCTAGATGGCAAAGAAAGAAATAGAGAAGACTTAGTCAGTAAGGATTTAGGAGGGGAAGGCATCTTGCCCCCCACAAATTTGAAAGAATCCAGCAGGAGTTATCCCTCCAAGTAGGAGCTCCAGAGATCAAGTCTCTTTAAAACAAATCTGTAAATAACCTGCTAGAATATCTCCTTTTGTAAGTAACAAAACAGAAAATGAAAAACCAAGTTCCAGCAATCCATCAATCAGCAGTAGAAAGATACTTAAAGATTTTCAGTTATTGCCTTCTAGTTTCTGTAGTTGTTGTTTTGTTTGGGAGGTTGTTTTGTCTATACAATATCCAGCACAATGCAACCCAGAG